CAACCACCACCTCCATAGGGAATCCGGAAGAAGCAGGATTAGCTTGTAGGAATTCGTGGTATAATGTTGTCTAGCACTCAGGATGGATGGAAACTCTAAGGTGGTTTTCTTGTATAATATAAGTTATATGATAGACAGTCTGGTGCTGGAGGTGCCGTGTGGTGAGGAGCTGCTCAGTAGAGACGTTCGGTGAGTAGCGTGTTGAAGGAGGTAGATGTGCAGGAGCTTCGTTAGAGATGTTGCCTGTTGCTGGCCTCCTGGTTGAATGAATACTGGACAGCGAGGAGCTTGCTGGAGTAGGTGTTGCGTGTTCAAGAAGAATGGCCAGAATGAATCTCAATGGAGAGACAGAGCTTATATACCCAGCAGCCGTGAGTCACCTATGAGTCATGTTGGGAAAACCCGAGAAAGTCGCCGGTCTTTGGTTCCGTTGCTAGGTTACGGTAACATCTGGTGTCGCCGCTCGCTTGGTTGCTAGGGAAGATGGTAGCAGCTGGTGACACCGCTATGCAGTTGTAGGGGAGAAGTCCACTACAAGCTGTAATCAGACCTGACCAACTCAACCCTACCACCACCTCCCTAAGGAAGAGTAAAGACAACGTCTCCAGAAGGTGAAAACTTTAATACAGCACTCATTTTATACACCTTCTGGTCACCTTCACGTCTCGCAAACTGTAGTGCAAAGTGTTAACATTCTTCCTCATGTTTTTGTCGGCATTACAACGACGGAAAATATTTTCCAACAGTAGAAGGTAAGCAAATGTAAACATGTATATAAATGTCCAAATAAAACAATAAATCTTTATTTAAAAACAAAAAATTACAAGTAAAAAAACTCGGTAAAAATAAGTCTAAATAACATTTTTGGTAAGCAAACACTAAAAAAAAATGTAAATCTCTAAATATCATGTCCAGTAAAACAGTCAAAAGCATTTTTTTTCATCTTCAAATACTGAGAAGTCGTCGTAGTTGGATTCATCACCAGACTGTGAATCATCACGGGAGGAACTATCATCACCATCATCAATACTGTCAGTCTCGTAAAGCAATGTGTCTTCAGTGCCATCCATAGCATTACTGATACCACATTTTTTGAAAGACTTAACGATAACTCTAGTTGTTATAATATCACTTTTTTACTTTTATCCTCTTCGCCACTGATCGGCTTGTTAGCCGCTTGGGCGATCGGTCACGTCTCTTTTCATTTATATTCTTCACCAAAAGATCGGCTCGCTAGCCGCCCGGGCGATCGGTCACGTCTCTGTCACGCACTGTTGGCAAATACTGGGCATGCACCGGCTCCTGAATGTACCTGAACCCGCTCCAGTGTTGGTCAAGTCTTCTCTTGAAAGAGCTCACACTCGGTGCCGTCACAACACTCTCTGGTAGATTGTTCCAAGAGTTTACAACCCTCACTCCGAAAAAGTTTGCCCTCACGGTTTTCTGGACTTGTGGCTTCTTCAATCTTGAGCTATGACCCCTTGTGGGGGCGAGCGTCCGCCAGCTCCAAGTAAGGACACTCAACTGAGTAGTGCCTCCTGAGATGCTTATAAACCTCAACTAGGTCCCCCCTTGCCCGTCTGTAGTATAAGCTAGGCAAGTTCAGGCGCTCCAATCTCTCAGGGTAGCTGAGGTGCTGAAGTGCAGGCACCAGTCTGGTGGTCCTCCTTTGAACATTTTCAACCAACTGACAGTCCCTAGCATATCTCGGGGACCAGATGGGGTGACAGTACTCCAGATGGGGAAGCACTTCACTCCTGAAGATCGTCACGAGGGACGGACCGTCTAGATATCTGAACGACCTTCTTATAAGACCCAATAATTTATTTGCCTGATTTACCTTCTTCTCACAATGGCCCGAGAACTTCAGCTCATTGTCAACATACACACCTAGGTCCTTCTCACACACAGTCTCAACTAGTACATTTTCTTCATCCCGTTGGGACATATGGTACGCCTCCTTACCGTTGGTACGCCCCAGGTGCATCCTCTTACACTTCGTGACATTGAATCTCAGCAGCCATTCCTTCGACCATTCCTGGAGCCCACAGAGGTCCTTCTGCAGCTCTTCACAGTCCGCTTGGTTCTTAATTTCCCGAAATAACTTGCCATCATCGGCAAACATTTGTATGGAGGAGTGTACAACGTCAGGCATATCATTTATGAAACAAACAAACAACAGCGGGCCCAATACACTACCCTGCGGTACCCCACTTGTTACAGGTACAGATGACGATTTCGTGCCATTAATCACCACACATTGCTTGCGGTCATGTAGAAAGTCTTCTATCCACGCTAGGACATTTCCCCGAATTCCGTACCCTTCCAGTTTGATTTTCAGCCTTTCGTGGGGTACACTGTCGAAAGCCTTGGCAAAATCTAGGTAAATATTGTCGATATTACCACCCCGTTCTAGAATATGGGTCCAAATATCCAATACCTTGAGCAATTGTGTCAAGCAAGAGCGCCCCGGCATAAAACCGTGTTGGCAATCTTTTACAAGGTTGTTTCGTAGTAGATGTTCCATCGCGGCATCTCTGATAATACTCTCAAGTACTTTACATATTATGCTGGTCAGGCTCACCGGTCTATAGTTGTTCGTGGAGTGACTATCGCCCTTCTTGAAGATAGGACTCACATAAGCCACTTTCCATTCACTGGGGACCATTTGTTCATCCAGGCATTTACAAAACAGAATCTTCAGGGGCTCTGCAAGCTCGTTGCACAGCTCTCTTAGCACTCTAGGATGCACCATGTCAGGTCCAGGACTCTTATGGACCTTTAGCCTGGACAGTTTATTTCTAATACCCTCTTCTGTGAACACAATGTGGGTCAGTGCTGTGTCGAACCGTCTGTCCTCAAACGCAGGAAGGTTAGTTGCATCCTCTCTTGTGAACACTGAGGAAAAGAAGCTGTTCAATGCCTCAGCTTTATCCTGGTCAGAATCTGCGTAACTACCATCTTCAAGCCTCAGGTCTGATACTCCTACTCGCGTTTTCAATTTCGACTTTGCATAGCGGTAAAACGCCTTTGGGTTTGACTTGACCTCGCGTGCAACCAGCCTTTGGAACTCCTTTTCAGCCCTCCTACACTCTATCTTTGCTTGGTTTCTGGCTCTTGCATACATCCTCCTGTCTTGCTCATCGTTTGACCCAACCCACGTCTTGAATTTCTGGGTTTTCTTCTTAATTTTGTCGACCGCCGCATGGTTCATGTGTAGGGATCCCCTCGTATTCCTAGAAGCACTGGGTTTGGTCTTGGGTATATATTTATCGATCAAATGGGTCATTTTACTAGTTATGATATTCAGCGTAGTGTCTGCGTTCTTGTACCTTAATAAGTCAGGCCAGTTGATACCCCTCATCTCTTCCCTCATCCCATTGTAATTTCCCTTGTAATATTTGCACCTTGGCCTGGCCTTATCTTGAACTAGGTAACAGTTAAATCTGAATGACAACACTGTATGGTGACTGGTGCCAACTGGGGCAAGGTGTTCCAGTTTGGCCACCATACCCTCCTCGTTTGTTATGATGAGGTCAAGTGGCTTGGGTGTTTGCTCCCCTCTGTAATGTGTCGGGTCTCTCACATGTTGGAACAGAAAATTATCTCTCAGAGTTTCTACAAAAAGAGTAGCAGGGTTATTCAAGTCATTCGGGGTGGACTCGTTTCTCCAGTCGATGTCGCCATAGTTAAAGTCCCCCATGATAAGGAGGTGGCTGGGGTTGAGCATCGCCGCATTGTTTATTAAGGTTCTTAAGTTCCTTTGATTTAGTGGGCCACAGTTTGGGGATCTGTAGATACACCCGACGATAAGTAAGTCCCCTCCCTTTAATTTGATTTTACACCACTTGGACTCTTCAAAAACATCCTCTCCCTGTCTTGGCTGGCTCTAAGGTCTTGCCCAGTCAGTCACTGGTTTTGTAAACATTAACAAAACAGCGTCATTTCTCTTTTGTACAATAGATTCATTATTGTTTATTACTTAATTTCTATTTGGTTTAATTAATGATTATGTGTGCAAAATGAACAATACAATTCATTAATAATACATAAAATATTAAAACACACGAGTGGAACAAGCTTAGCAACTTTGTAGTAAGTGCGGGAACTCTGGAAAGTTTCAAAAGGAGGCTAGATAGATTCATGGATGATAGAGAGTGGTAGTAACTCTCGACAGGAGCTGCCATGCACAGGCCAACCGGCCTATTGCAGACTCCTTATTGTTCTTATGTTCTTATGAGACGAGACAGCATTGTTTTCGCTGTTTACAAAACAAGTGACTGATTGGTTCTACATATAAAACTGAAGAAATAAGATCCTGGTTCTAGCTGTAGTTAAATTAATTAAAAAAAACTTAATATGGTTGTTTTAAGTCGTGTTATTTAATGTTAATAAATGGAACAATAAAAGTAGCTAACAATTAATGGTTAAGAAAAAAGTGAGATGGCGTATGTAAGTGAGCACAAGTGTAAACATATCGTCATTACTCTACATAAGAATATGAAAGCAACACTTATTTACTGTTCATATATATTTTATTTAATGTTTCTGAATTAAAAAAAATTCTACCCACCACTGGTGGTAAAGTTGAAAACATATGGACAGCCAATGTTGTTGTGTGTGGGTTTGTGTGTTTTTTACTTGGATGACGAAGTTATATTCAAATTTGAAAGATTTTAATTTGTGGGGTTTTTACAGTCTGAATGGGTCTCCAAATATGAGAGCCTACTGTAAATAGGTGTCCAACTATGAGAGCCTACATATAAAGAAACATACATTCCTGCTCTTTGAGACCAGCAGACAAGCTTTAGCAATTCGTCAATAGATGGCGCTGCCGCACCACTGCCATTAGTAAACAAAACACAAGCAGTAAGGGTTTATTTTTATTTTTTTCGCAATATATGAACAATATTAGTAAAATCAATAGTTTTATAGTACTGTATAGAGAATACTTGTAATTGTTAAGTACTGTAATGAGGAAATAGTCTTTGTAAGGGGCTGATTTCAAAAACCTCTGCTACAACCCTCGACTAGCATCCTATAAGAACCATAGTAATTTTCGAGGTATATTTTTGTCAAAAAGTGCGTATTTGAAGCCGAAAAATACGGTATATATACACACACACACATAATATATATATATATATATATATATATATATATATATATATATATATATATATATATATATATATATATATATATATATATATATATATATATATATATATATATATATATATATATATATATATATATATATATATATATATATATGTATATATATATATATATATATATATATATATATATATATATATATATATATATATATGTGTGTGTATATATATATACTGTATATATATATATATATATATATATATATATATATATATATATATATATATATATGTATATAAACACATATATATACACATATATATATATACACATATATATATATACTGTTGTACCTCTCTAGTCCGGCATTCTGTGGTCCGGAAACTCCCGTGGTCCGGAACGATTTTAGTTTGTCCAATAGGTAGTTAGGCAGCTTTTGAGACCTTACTTGGATTATGCAGTTCAGTTCTGGTCACAGTACTACAGAATGGATATAGAATACCTAGAAAGCATACAGAGGAGAAAGACAAGACAAATCCCAGGCATTAGGAACCTTGATTATAGAGACAGGTTAAAGCATCTTAATTTGCACTCCCTCGGGAGTCGAAGAGTGAGGGGTGTCTGATCAAGGTGTATAAATGGAAGTCAGGGTTAAACAAAGGTGATATAACAAAGGTACCCAAACTATCCAACCAGGAGTGAATTCATAGCAATAGTTTTAAATTAGACAAACTTAGATTTAGGCAAAAGATAGGTAAACACTAGTTTGGAAATAGAGTAGTGGATGAGTGGAACAAGTTACCAAACTTTATCATTCAAGCACGCTGGGTAGCTTCAAATATAGGTTGGACGGATATATGAGTGATAGGGGTTTGGTGTATATGGGACTGCCTAGTCTGGGCCAATAGGCCCGCTGCAGTTTCCTCCATTCTTATGTTCTTATGTTAATGATCCTCGAGGAGGCCGTACGGCTTGACCTTTGATGGTATAACAAGAAGAAAAAAAAGGACGCTTGTGTAGGGAGTAAGTCAGTTTGGCATTGGGCTCTAATATTCTGTAGAATTCTTGTGAGTTTCCTCATGAAGGTTTTACTTAAAAAGTAGGATAGTCATCTATAATGCACTTATATACAGTACAGTACAGTACAGTAATTTTTAATTGGATCTAAGAGATTCAACTATGAGGTAGTCAGAATATTCCTCAAGACACTGAAATGAATTTATTTGGTTACAGGAATACTCATGATATTCTACTGCCTCTTAGATGACTCAACGAAACCTTACACTCGAGGGGGTGTCAGTGTTGGTGAAGGAAGCAACATTAAGGATTTGCTCGTATGTCCACCATACTCCACTCCTGGCCACACCCACACTTTCAGAAGAGACATCTGCTTCCATCTTTCTCAAACTTGGTGAGTTCATAAAGGCAGTTGTGAAAACTGTATACAGTACAGCAGTGATATCACTGTGGTACAGCAGACAAGAATAGGATATACAGGATCCTTTTATTAATACTGTCAAAGCATAATGAAGCATTTGTACCTTTGATTAGCTATATACTACAGTAGTCAGTACAGTACTGTACAGTAGTAGGGACTTTTACAAATAACATTCATCAATGAAAGTGATAACTAGGGACATACAAAACATATCTGTATAACAGTACTGTACTGTACATGTAGTCTTTTTATTCATGGTCAGAGGTAAAACTCCTGCAAGATTTGGGAAAGGATAATTCAAAATTCTTTACATATTTTGAGCAATAATTATGCAAGCTTTTTCCCGCTGAAGGGTAATTGAACAGATGCCGATTCACTTTACAGGATACAAGTCCAGCAAAGGGAACTTCCACCATTAGCAATTGCACTTAATGGTGTACTGTACTTTTATTTTGAGTATATAGGTTGACAAACCTTTATCCGAAATTCCGAAATCCGAAAAGCTCTGAAAACTTAAAAGTTTTTTTTGTGGAGCAAAACTTTTTTTTTTTTTTTACAGGGATTAGCCCACCCAGGCATAGATCACTGACCCACATCGGGGCCTGGGGGCGAAAACGTAATAGTAATACTAATTATAATAATAATTATAATACTGTAATAATAATTATTCATTGTAAATAAAAATTTCAATAAAAATACACCAAAAAAAAAAATAATGATGATAACAATAATAATAATAATAATAATAATAAGATATAATAATAAAATTAATAATAATAATAACAATAATACTGTATTAATAAAATAATAATAATACAAGTTGTACCTCTCTAGTCAGGCAACCTCGGGACCTGACCGGTGCCGGACCATGGAAATTGCCGGACCATGGAAATTCAACCTTTTCCTGGATAGATAGTGACTTGTGCTTATGCCTGGAAGCACTAGCACCACTTTCTCTGCAGCATGGTCTCTTTGAAGACATATTGAAGGGTCAAATGTCGTATAGTAGTGTAGTGGATGTCTCCCCTACAAACTAACTGCATAGCCACGCCACCACCTGTTACCGTCTTCCCTAGCAACCAAGCGTATCCGCATTCCAATGCCCGCCGTATCTTAGCAACGGAACTATTCACCGGCTACTTCTCGGGTTTTCCCACCATGACTCATAGCCGCTGCTGGGTGTATATAAGCTCTGTCTCTCCCTTGAGATTCAGTCAGACCATTCTTCTGAACTAGCAACACCTCCTCCTCCGCCGCTGCCTGGCTGCCCCTCGCATCTCCTCGCCTGCCTGGCGGTCCTCGCTCCCGCCAGCGAGCATGTCCTTCTCTGAGCTTCCTCACCAACCAATTCTCATTCTGGCCCATCTTCCTGAACAAGCAACATCTCCTCCAGCAAGCTCCACGCTGTTAACATTTCATTCAACCAGGAGGCCAGCAACAGGCAACACCTTCTCTAACGAAGCTCCTGCACATCTACCTCCTTCGACAAGCTACTCACCGCACGTCTCTACCAAGCAGCCCCTCACCACACAGCACCTCCAGCACCAGACTGTCTATCATATAACTTATATATTATACAAGAAAACCACATTAGAGTTTCCTTCCATCCTGAGTGCTAGACAACTTTAATATATCGATACCCCTACAGTAGCTTCTCAAATTTCGCGAGTTTTTAATTCTTAACGTATTTTATTGGAACACAAAAAATAAATAAATAAAAATTTTGACCGCAGAAACTTGAATTTTGACGGGTTTGAACGGCCCGCCAACGTGCAGATGACGTGCATAATCGTGTAAAGAGAGTCATTTCTCTTATGTACAAAAGATTCATTATTGTTTATTACTGAATGTCTTTTTTATTGAATTAATGTTTATGTGTGCAAAATGAGCAATACAATTCATTAATAATACGTAGAATATTAAAACACGAGGAAATGACACAGCATTGTATTCGTTGATTACAAAACCAGTGACTGACTGGTTCTACATATAAAACTGAAGAAAATAAGACCTTGGTTGTAGCTGTAGTAAAATTAATATGGTTGTTTTAAGTAATGTTATTTAATGTTAATAAATGGAACAATAGAAGTAGCTAACGATAATGGTAAAGAAAAATGAGAGATCGCATATGCAAGTGCGCATGCGCACACGTGAAAACATATCATCATTACTTTACATAAGAATATGAAAGCAACACTTATTTACTGTTCATATATATTTTAATTAATGTTTCTGAATTTGTTTTTATTGAATTAATGTATGTGTGTGCAAAATTAACAATACAATTTATTAATAATACGTGGAATATGAGAGGAGACGAGACGGCTGCCGGCATTGTTTATGTTAAAGCTTACGAAACCAGTGACTGATTGGTTCTACATATAAAACTGAAGAAAATAAGACCCTGAGTTTAGCTGTAGTAAAATTAATGTAAAAAATGAATATGGTTGCTTGAAGTACCTGTAATGTTATTTAATGTTAATAAATGGAACAATATACAGTTGTATCCCACTTAACGCGGTCAATTGAACCCAGAGGGTCCCGCGTTAAGTGAAATCCGCGTTAAGTGAACAACAGAACATATGGGATTAATTCCAATAGAACCCAGCCCGACCCCCAAACTCCACTTTTTGACGACACATAACTATGTTGTAGTAAAAATTCTATCTTAACTTTATGATGGTATGAAAAAACAAGTAATATAGAAGAGGTTAGGTTAGGAAAGATAAAGGTTAACATAGGAAAAATAAAGAATAGGTTAAAAAACGAAAAATTTTGTGGAACACTTACGGTAGTAGAAGAGATGGGTCGGCATACGGGGATGGAGGCTGGTTCCGAGGCAGAGGGCAGATTACTGGCCCTCAGGTGAATCACCATTACTAGGTGAATCAACATCACTGTCACTTACAGTTGTCAGGGCTTCCCTGACAAATCCCTCAAAGTCAACTTCAATTTCACTATCACTGGCTTGGGCTGGCTGTGGTGGGTTGCGGGCGAAGAACTCGGTGATGCTTTGCTGACGGCTGGTGTTGATGTTGTCGTGATACACCTTGATGTACGGCTCCATAGCCTGCACCAGTCGGGTATGGAAGACTTCATAGCGTTCATCGTCATTGTCGCGGGAAAGGACGGACTTAATTTTTTCTGTAAACTCTATGACACACTTAATATCACTATGACTTAAACTAGGTTCTTCGGAGAATGACGCACCTTCTTCCTCCTCTTCACTGGCGTGTTCTTCTTCCAACATCTCGTCGGCAGTCACTTCAGGAACTTTGATCACCTCCAGGATGTCTTCGTTGGTGGTCTCGGAGAAGCCTTCAGCTGTAATATTGAGCGCAGCTTCTCTGGCAAGGTCCACTGCTACTGCAACAGTCTGAACCTGACCAGTCACAGGTTCACTCCTCCTCTCACCTGGTATGCCATGCAACACATGTCTCCATGCGTGACGAATCGTAGCAATAGTCAGCAGATCCCATGCTTCCACCAAGAAGTCTACAGCTTGTTTAACGTTAAACTTCTTCCAAAATTGTTTGACGAGAAGTTCTTGAGTCACCGCCTCTTGTTCCTTGTCCTCGTCGCTTTTGCTCTCGCTGTCGGTGTCACCCAGCTTACGCAACTCATCCTTGGTGTTGGTAGAGTCGTTCAGGAGCTTGAACTTCTTTGCAGAGTACGCAGCTTTCACATTGCAGATCAACTCCTGGTCCATGGGCTGGATTAATGACGTAGTGTTGGGAGGAAGGAAGACCACTTTTACGTTGGGGTGACGATCCATAAGTAGGGGCGAGTGTCCAGGTGCGTTGTCAAGGAGCAACAAAATATTGAATGGAACATTCTGTTGCTCGCAGAATTTCTTCACGTCAGGAACAAAACAGTTGTCAAACCAGAAGAGGGACAGAGAAGAGGACATCCACGCCTTACGTGCGGTTAGCCAGTGGACATTAAGCTTGTTCATGTCCATATTCTTGTAGGCGTGCGGCTTGCGGGCTGTGTGAATCACCGATAACTTTGGTTTACAGGTACCGGAGGCATTGGTGGTAAACAGGACGGTGATGCGTTCCTTCTGCAACTTCCGACCCCTTACCTTGCTGGCAGACTGGACAACGAAGGTCTTGGAAGGTAACTTTTTCCAGAAAAGACCAGATTCGTCCATGTTAAACACCTGGTCGTCACTGTACTGTCCTTCCTCCATAATCTCACGTAAAAACGGAGGAAAATCTCTAGCCGCCACACGGTCAGCACTCGCTTCCTCACCACCAATGTTGATGTTGGTGATCTTGTTCCTCTTCTTAAACCTATGCAGCCAACCAGAGGAAGCATTGAAGGGTTTGGGCTCTGCAATTCCCAGTTTACGTGTCACTGCTGCGTATAGCTCACGTGCGTACTCCTGCACTGAGCGCGTGTCCACCGCCATGTTGCGTCGCGCCTGACGCACCAAATAACTCACCAGCAAATTTTCCACTTTTGCCAGCACCCTGTTCTGGCAATACCTGATAGATGAAGCACCTGCAGACTTTGTGATTTTCATGTGCTCTTTGATCTTGGCTGCATCCTTCTTGATCGTACGAATCGTAGATTCGTTGACGCCATGCTGGCGCGCGAGATCAACTTGCCGTCTTCCTTTCTCCAAATCTTGAACAATTTGGTACTTCACCTCGTAGCTTAATGAACGTCGTGTCTTCTTTGGCTTAGTGCCGCTGGGTCCAGGTAAGGAAAGGTCTCTCTCTGGGGGCGGTGGTGGTCCGGCGGAAGCCATTTTACGGAACAATGGATGCGCGTTAACCCGGGTGGCCTTGAGGGATGAAACTGCCGCGGCTAGGTCAAGCGTCGTCTCTCCTCCCTCCCTCCCTCCCTCCCTCCCTCGGGGTGGTCACGTCATAATACTTTAAGCCAATTACAGCTAGCAGCAGAGGGGGGTAGGGATGCATGGCCAATCACAGTCCGATACGTCATATGACGTCAGTGATAACGCAACAAAGACACACACTGCGCAACCTTACCGCGCGGCTTGCCCAAGCGGAGGGAGGAGGAGGGAGAGAGAGGGAGGCAGGCAGGCAGGCGGGCGGGTGGCGCGTGGGCAAAATCTAAAAATAGCATCTCGAGCCGGACACTCACCGCGTATATGTGGAAAAAATCCGTGTTAAGTGAAAGTTCAGCTCTGGCAAGGCACCGCGTATATGCGAAAACGCGCTAAGTGAAACCGCGTTAGGCGGGGTAATACTGTAAGTAGCTAACCATTAATGGTAAAAAAAAAAGTGAGACTGCTCGTATGTAAGTGCGCACATGTGAAAATATATCGCCATTACTCTACATAAGAATATGAAAGCAACACTTATTTACTGCTCATATATATTGAAGGGTTAAATGTTGTACTCTGTATAGACAAGCAGAGAGAGAGAGAGAGAGAGAACAGCCGAACTGCCGGATGTAAACAAACCATAATTTCCTGCGGCTTATTTTTTTTAAGGGGATTAGCCCACCTGGGCATAGGTCACTGACCCACATTGGGGCCTGAGGGGCAAAAATTTAATACTCCTGTAATAATAATAATAATTCAGATAAGTAAAAAAAAAAAAGAACAAAAAAAAGCTGCCTATCTACCTATTGGACAAACTAAAATCGTTCCGGACCACGGGAGTTTCCGGACCACAGAATGCCGGACTAGAGAGGTACAACCTGTAATAATAAATACAAGAATGAAAAAAAGAAAAAAGTGAGAAACACGACCTAGACCTATGAATTATTATTATTATTATTATAATTATTATATTTTTGCCCCCTAGGCCCCAATGTGGGTCAGTGACTTGTGCCCGGGTGGGCTAAGATAAAAAAAAAAAAAAAAATTAACCATTCTGAAAACCGAAAAATTCCGAAATACAAAATGCCTCTGGCCCCAAGGATTTCGGATAAGGGATTGTCAACCTGTACAAGGACTGTGGAGATGAGTTACATCATGTGTTTTTGGGAGGGAACGGGTAAGAAATGGTGAAGTGTACTGCATGTGGTGTTTGGAATGGCAGAGGTTGTTAAATGTGCAGTAGTGGATTGATGTATGACAAGGATGCAGGAGCAGTGGGTAATAAAGAGGGTATGTAGAGGCAATATAGCACATGTGCTGGATAGAGGGAAATTGCCTACTTTATAAGAGGGAAAGGTGGAACAGTACAGTTACCCGGAACCTCACAAAGAGGCCCTAGGCAGTTTCATACTTTTCTATGTTTCAGATTTTCATGCCTAATTGATGAATGATCAGGGGTTGCCATACTGTACAGTACAACATGTACTGTATTTGATGTGTAAGTACTGTACAGTATATTCATCAAACTGTACCTTTACATTTAAACATTATTATACCAAACAGAAAATGAGCAAGTGACAGGGTCATTCAAGGTGCGTGGAGCATTCAATAAAATAGGTGTGCTAGCTGATAAGGGCGTCACTAAAGTATACACTGCCTCAACTGGAAACCACGGTCTTGCTTGTGTGAGTAAATTATTTTTTATTGTACAATTACAGTACTGTATAAATATTGTTTAGATTTTCTACCAAAAGCTAGGTACAGTACCCAGTACTGTAATGTAATGGCATTTTTAGTCATATAATATTGTATAGCCATCTCAGAATTTAGGCTGAAATAAGTCTAAGAGTTAATTGGAAGAACCGATTTATTTAAATTTTTTTCTATACTGTATACTGTACTGTACTATGTAAATTAGAAATTATCCTTTCTCAGTACAGTATTAGATAAATCTGTAACTTTATCATTCAATATTAGAAAGAAATCTGTAGCTGAAGCTTTATTGACAAAATTAAGTTTTAAGTATACAGCTACTCCTCGACTTTACGACCTACGTACTCGACTTATGACCACCCGGACATACGACCGCCCCATTCGTATCAAAATTTTTTCAAATTACGTATTTTCGAGTCCCGACATTAGTGATTGCGCTGTGTACTGACAAAATTTTCGTTTGTAATTCCCTTTAAAATGACTGACAAGCTTAAAAGTGAGAGTTTTGTGGTGCTGAGAAGAAAGAGTCACCCATTATATATTTTCTATTTATTATATTCGCATTTTTGACTTACGACCAATTCGAAATACGACCTGGATTTGGGTCCCTAACCCCGTCGTAAGTCGAGGAGTGGCTGTATTTAATTTTATATTAATTTAACACCATTTTGGTCTTTCGAATATTTTTTAACCTGTGTAAAGTGAACAATTGCATTATTTATTATTTTGAAATTAAAAGTACATTTCTACATTTTGCTACTACAAGTTACTGTGATGTACAGGTACTGGTATATCTAAAAAAAAAATAGGTTAAATAACCTCACCAAAATTTTATTTTACCCTCTTTGCCACTGATCTGCCCGTTAGCCACTTGGGTGACCGGTCTCACCTTTGTTATGCACTGTTGGCAAGTACTGGGTGTAAAATGTACTGTATCTGTACCTGTGTCACTGTTGGTCAAGTTTGAATTTGAATAAGCTCACACTCGGTGCTGTCACAATGCTGTCTGGCAGACTTTCTAAGAGTTCACAACTCTCACTCCAAAAATGTTTGCCCTGACTATTTTCTGAACTTGTGGATCCTTCAACCTGAAGCTGTGACCTGTTGTGGAGAGGGCATATGCTAGTTCTAGGTATGGACATTCGACTGAGTACAGTACAGTACTTGCAGACTTAATAAGTCACCCCTTGCTTGCCTTTAATATAAGATAGGCAACTTTAGACATTCTTGTCTCTCTGGGTATCTGAAGTGCCAGAGTGCAGGCACCAGTCTGGTGCATCACACATGATATTCCAATGGTACAGATATATCAATTCATAGTCAACACAGATGTTTAGAAAAATATAAATACTGTACCGGAAGTAAGCTAACAACTACATATATAATATATACAGTATATTAGTAGAAATTCCTTCCAACAATGTCCCATGGTAAGTTTAGTATGACTGGTAGGGTTTCAGCATCAGTCATCCTTACTACCCTAGTGAAAGTTTTAATAATAAGTGGTGTTGCTATTTTCACGTAGGCATTGGCATTCAAGACTCTGGGAGTTGGTGGTCAAGTGTTCGTGCCAGTCACTGCAGATGATGAGAAGAAGAAAAAGCTGAGAGTGAGTATTTTTCTATGTAGTAAAACTGTGGATTGATGGGGATGCCAGAATATACTTTTTTATTGTCCGTTACTTCAGAATCTTTGGTTGTTCAGTGACCTTGATGATGCACTCTCACTGCTCGAGTCGTAGTTGTCAGAGTGATCTCAATGTGTGATCGTTGGTGGAACCATTTCATACCCAGTTCCTTTGCAGTTTGGAGTCCCACCGGGATCAGTTTTGGGACCACGTTTGTTTACAGTCTATACTGTACTGCTGGACGCTCATGGTTTTACCTACCATTTTTATGCCGATGATACACAGCTTTATGTACAAATAATAAATGTTTAGGATATTGAGGAGAATGAAATCCTTCACATCTGATATTAAAATTTGGATTAAGAGAAAACTTAAGCTGAATGATGGAAACCGAGATTACCGTCATTCGAGGAAATAGACGAGATGACAGCACAGATGATTTTTGTTCTTTAAACTTTGGAAAAGTACAAATCAGTCTTATCGATTCTGTTCATAATCTTGGAATGTAGTTTGACTCAAAACTGAATTTTAAAGGGCATAGAAATTCATTGGTTAATAGTTGCAACTTTCATAATTGAAATCTCTATACGGTATACTGTACTTTGAAACTGTTTTTGGGAAGACAGTGTCTTGTGACACTATTACATTCACTTATTTTGTCTTGGGTTGGCTATTGTAACTCTTTATGGGTCTGCCTACCTAATTATCTACTGAAGAATGTACAAAGTTAAGCAGGGTTGCCAGGCTAATTTTTGCTCTCCTATCGAGGACTCCGACTATCCCATTCTTGATCAAATTGCATTGGCTTCCAATTAAAGCGAGGATAGATATCAAACTCTGCATAATGACATTTATGTTTGATGATCCTAAGTACATGTCCAACCTACTAAATCCTCTCACCACAAGTTCCAAAATTATTTTGCATAGTAGAGATGATCCCTCGCACCATGAGAGTCTAGAGCAGTATTAGAATGTTCTTTTGCTGCCACTTTTTGTTACTTATTTAAAAAATATATATATTTTTTATTTTCAGTTCCTTGACTCTGTAGTGTTTTGAGTGCCAGTGAATATTTTAGAACTGGCACTTTTGAGACATAAAAAATGCTATTACAGTCTGAAACTAACATCTTGTAGATGGTTGGTGTTATCTTTTAATTTTAAATTTCTTGTAGCAACATTATACTGTACTGTAATGTACAATATTGTGTTTAATGATATGTATAGTATATGCTGTTTAAGAAATTTATGTTTGTAATTAATATTTTCAAAAAATAAATTAATTTTCGGAATTTTGTGTTCCTACGTAGTGCAATAGAAATATTCCATTTTAGTACAATATAAGGAAAATATGAAAGGGCACTTTTAGATTGATAAAACTACAGGGTACTGAAATATTAAAAGGCCTTATTCCTTCATGCAGGCAGCCGGGGCAAATCTCCTGGAATATGGCACAGACTGCGCTGAAACAGAGACCTATGCTCGTAGGCTGGCAGAAGAAAATGGTGTAAAATATCTGTCTCCTTACAATGACTATTATGTCCTTGCTGGTCAGGTACCATAATTATCTAGTGAACCGTGCTGTTTATTATACCTATAAGTTTGTTCTTGTTCATGATCAATGTTTTTGCTCCATTTAATATTTCTTCAGTTCATATTCTTTAATATTTCAGAAAAGATTTTTTTTGTGTAGATACCTGCTAATTGTCAATTTATTTAACAGCAAATTGCAATTTATATTCTATGGCCAATATCAACTTAGCAAACATATTGTCATCAAAATTAATGTATAGTTTCCTGTTATTTAGATACATTACAACATTTGGTTTACACACTCATATAATTAACCTAGACTTGTACCCTTAGCCAGAAGTTTCCATTATACAGTAAGGGGGTCCCTGTTATAAGTGTCTTCCTTGTAAGTGATTTCGTACTTACCCCGGAAAGTGGTCAAATAATTGCGAAACTACACGTAAAAATTCACCGAAGTTAAGAAGATTCTAAGGCTGAAATCCGTCAATCATTGGGAGGTACAAGCGTTTGAGCGATTGAAATTACCGCCCGCCTCCCATTCTCTTAAAGGTCATCCTTCTTGCCCATGCTATGCATGTTTAGTACCAGTCGCCTGTGTCCACAGGCATTATTTTGAAGTGCTCCAAGAACTATACAGTAATTATCTACCTTGTTGCGTCTTTGGTGACATTGGTGAACTATTTTTGTAGCCATCAATTCCAAAATGAATCAATGTGGTGTAGTGGCTAAAAGGAAGCATAGTAGCTCTGGGATGGATGTGATTAGAAGTTACATGTTGTAAAAAAAGTGGTGAGCATGTCTCAATGAACCACTTTTACTTTAAATGAAATGAGCTTATACTATTCCTTCTCTAATTACTATCACAAATTATTTCTTCTATGTAAGGGTACTATTGGGGCTGAAATTCTGCAAGATCTACCAGACGTTGATGCCATCTTTGTGTCTGTAGGTGGAGGTGGACTTATTGCTGGTATAGCTTCATATGTGAAAACTGAACGGCCATCATGCAAGGTAAAGAAACCTGTATTTTTATAATACATATACTGTACTGTAATGTACAGGTGTACTGTAATTCTTATATATTACAGTACTTATTAACTGTATATATATGTATATATATATATATATATATATATATATATATATATATATATATATATATATATATATATATATATATATATATATACATATATGTGTGTATGTGTATGTGTGTATGTATGTGTGTGTGTGTGCGTGCGTGTGTGTGTGTGTGTGTGTGTGTGTGTGTGTGTGTGTGTGTGTGTGTGTGTGTGTGTGTGTGTGTGCGTGCGTGTGTGTGTGTGTGTGTGTGTGTGTGTGTGTGTGTGTGTGTGTGTGTGTGTGTGTGTGTGTGTGTGTGTGTGTGTGTGTGTGTGTGTGTGTGTGTGTGTGTGTGTGTGTGTGCGTGTGTGTGTGTGTGTGTGTGTGTGTGTGCGTGCGTGTGTGTGTGTGTGTGTGTGCGTGTGTGTGTGTGTGTGTGTGTGTGTGTGTGTGTGTGTGTGTGTGTGTGTGTGTGTGTGTGTGTGTGTGTGTGTGTGTGTGTGTGTGTGTGTGTGCGTGTGTGTGTGTGTGTGTGCGTGTTGGTGTGTGTTGTATATATATATATATATATATATGTATATATATATATATATATATATATATATATACATACATATATATATATATATATATATATATATATATATATATATATATATATATATATATATATATATATATATATATATATACATACATGTATATATATATATATATATATATATATATATATATATACATATATATATATATATATATATATATATATATATATATATACATACATATATACATACATATATACATATATATATATATATACATATATATATATATATATATATATATATATATATATATATATATATATATATATATATATATATATATATATATATATACATATACACACACACAGTATTACCCGCTTTAGGTTTCATTCTTAGCGATTTCTCATATCTTGTGATTGCCTGCATGAACCGAACTTTCTACTTGGTTCATCTACTCATATCTGTGGTGAAGTATAATATTTTTTTTTTTTATTTAGCTCATAAATTCATACAAATTACCCGGCCAGAATATAATTTACATTGCTGGAATTAATATGATGATCATTTTGAATATAAACATCATAGATTTTGCATTGAACATACAAATTTTAGATATAATGTTTACTCTGAGTAAATATGTTTATATTTTGTGCAAAATATATGACATTTATATTCAAAATATTCTTACAAGGAATCCAGCAATGTCAATTATATTATCTAACTTTAGTTTGAGGTATTATTTATTACTAAAAAGGTAAATATTCTGGTTTCCCCATCTGGTAGGGAGGGTTGGTGGGGGAGAGAGGACCGAGACCATCTGGCAGTGTGAAGAATATATATATTTTTTTTATATTAACTGAAGATATTTGTTTAGCTCATAAAATTCATACAATAGCCAGCAGAATATAATTTACATTGCTGGAATTCTTACAATTTGATGATCATTTTGAATATAAACATCATAGATTTTGCATTAGACATACAAATTTTAGATATAATGTTTACTCTGGTAAATATGTTATCTTTTGTTGCAAAATATATGACATTTATATTCAAAATATTCCTAATCTTAATGGAATCCAGCAATGTCAATTATATTATCCTAACTGGTTTGAGGTATTATTTATTAAAATCTAGTGGTTTTTCCCCAAAATATCAGAGGAAGAGCCAGCAGTGAAGTGTGGAAAAGAGGGAGGGAGTTGAATCCATTATTTGAATGGACATTAACTGGCGACTGTATTTCTCTATTTCTCTTAAGTATTAATTGTGTGCATGTACCATCATAAAATTAAGATGTTATTTTACTAGAACATAGGTATTGTGTCGGAAAAAAGTAGAGCTTGAAGTCGGGCCAGTCTCTATTGGAATTAATCCCATATGTTCTGTTGTTCATATGTGGTACCCTGTGGGTTCAATCCATGCGTAAAAGTGCGACTGATTGTATATATATATATATATATATATATATATATATATATATATATATATATATATATATATATATATATATATATATATATATATATATATATATATATATATATATATATATATATATATATATATATATATATATATATGCAAGTAAATCACTGTAGGTGCGCGTGATCTAGGTATATGCTGATAACCACAAGGAAAGAAGAAAACACGAAGTTCCCAAGCGCTTTCGTGTAATTCACATCTTCAGGGGTGAGTACAGACTAGAGAGAGAAATACAAACCAAGGTGTATATATACAGAGGAGGGTGAGACCAGGTCCACAATGGTCAGGTATTAGGTAATGACCCTACTAATCTTTAAATAGCACACAACGGTTGGTGGTCAGGTCAGATGGTCAGGTGACCCGGCCTTCTCACCTGGTTACAAATTTTCTTAATTACAAAATTGTCCAGCTTGTACACACCGTTACTCAAATTCATGTTGAATGCTTCTGTATGTTTAATAAGACTAGATTCTATGATGTTCCTACTATCAATTGAATTACATGGTAATATTGAGGAGGCATTATCCCAGTCAATGCAATGCTTGTTATCCCTCAAATGAACAAACAGAGCATTGGATTCCTGGCCTGTCCTAACACTGTATTTGTGTTGTTTAATTCTAGTTGCAAGATCTTTACCTGTCTGGCCTAAGTAAAACATATTACATTCTTTGCAAGGAACTTTATAAATGCAACCAATTGTGTTGTTGGGGGAGTTCTTGATTAACATTTGTTTAACAGTGCATGAGTTTTTAAATGCCACATTGACATTCCAGGTTTTTAGTTGTGAAGGAATGTGTGAGAAATTTTTGTGAAATGGTAATATTAAGATATTCTTATGGTCATGGGTGGGCTTGGGATCAGTTCTATAAAAGTTTTCTTAGTAATGTTTAGGCATTTGTCTATGAAAGATCTAGGGTATTTAAGGTTTGAGCCAATATTATAAATATATTTGTATTCCTCATCGATGAATTCCGGACTGCAAATTCTCAAGGCACGTAAAAACATTGTTGAAAATACTGACTGTTTGACTTTATTATGGTGGGCAGAATAATAATGAATGTATGAACACACATTAGTTGGTTTTCTATAAATACTGAACTTAAAAGTGTTACCTATTCTGTGTATCAGACAGTCTAGGAATGGCAATTTACAGTCTTGCTCTAATTCCACAGTGAATTTGATCGAGGGGGCTAAGTTGTTAAGTTGTGGCAGGAAAGCTTTTAGGTCCTCATTACATGGCCAGAGACATAATACATCATCAACATATCTAAACCAGACTGCTGAGGATGGTAAAATATTACTGAAATAGTTTCTTTTCAAAGAATTCCATATATAGGTTGCTTAATACAGGTGAGAGTGGATTACCCATTGCCATACCAAATTTTTGAGCATAATATTCTCCATTGAATTCGAATTTGCAATCCTTAATACATAGTTTGATGAGTTCGATGAAGTCGTCTTTCGAGACCGGCAGTGAAATGTCATCCAGGGAATCTATGAGGAACTCTAGTAAATCATCAACTGGGACCTTTGTAAAGAGTGATGTTACATCAAAACTGACCAGTTTAAAATCATAACTAATGTGTAAGTTATTGAGTTTATCAACCAGATCCATATTATTCTTGATATTGGAGTTAGAAATGTTGCCAACTAGGGGATTTAGTAAAGAAACTAACCATTTAGATAGTTTATAAGGGATTGACCCAACTGAGCTAATGATGGGTCTTGCTGGGTTATTGGGCTTGTGGGTCTTGATTACATGTATGGCAGTGGAGGGGACATTGAAGTAAGATGTTTAATGAGAGTAGCTTTGCCTCTCAATAGGGACTTAAATTTTTTGTTGAACTGGGTGTTGACAGTGTTGAGAGGATTATTTATGAGTTTAGAATATGTTGTAGTATCACATGACCTTTTATGTGATGCCGTTACTCAAATTCATGTTGAATGCTTCTGTATGTTTAATAAGACTAGATTCTATGATGTTCCTACTATCAATTGAATTACAAGGTAATATTGAGGAGGCATTATCCCAGTCAATGCAATGCTTGTTATTCCTCAAATGAACAAACAGAGCATTGGATTCCTGGCCTGTCCTAACACTGTATTTGTGTTGTTTAATTCTAGTTGCAAGATCTTTTCCTGTCTGGCCTAAGTAAAACATATTACATTCCTTGCAAGGAACCTTATAAATGCAGCCACCTGTATTGTTGGGGGAGTTCTTGATTAACATTTGTTTAACAGTGCATGAGTTTTTAAATGCCACATTGACGTTCCAGGTTTTTAGTTGTAAAGGAATTTGAGAGAAATTTTTGTGAAATGGTAATACTAAGAGATTCTTATGGTCATGGGTGGGCTTGGGATCAGTTCTATAAAAAGATTTATTAGTAATGTTCAGGCATTTGTCTATGAAAGATCTAGGGTATTTAAGGTTTGAGCCAATATTATAGATATATTTATATTCCTCATCAATGAATTCCGGGCTGCAAATTCTCAAAGCACGTAAAAACATTGTTGAAAATACTGACTGTTTGACTCTATTATGGTGGGCAGAATAATAATGAATGTATGAACACACATTCATTGTTATATATTCATTATAACCTTGTATGCTTCGCCTTGTATGTATGTATGTATATATGTAACATATATATATGTATATATGCTAAGAATACAGTAGCAGCTGGTAGCGCCCCCCTGGGCAGCTTCCGTTTGGTGCTGGGATACTATAGCATTTGGAATGCGGATTAGCAGATTTCAGGAGAATCACACAAGTCATAATACTGCTAATTAGTTCTGAGGCTTAAATTCCTTGTTTTAGTAAATACGATTTGTACCTCTCTAGTCCGGCAACCTCGGGACTGACGGGTGCCCAGGACATGATGCTGGACTCTTAAGAATGCCCCTTTTCCTGGATGG